CTTCCCATTCCTGCACCTCCCTGACTCTCGCCTTCCTGACCTGTGCTTCCCATTCCCGCCCCTCCCTGACCTGCGCCTCCCTGTCCCGCCCTACAGAGCTCACCCTCCAGCAGGCTCTGCACCAGTCAGTCTTCATGCCCTGCGCCTCGCCCGCCCCCAACGTGCCCCTCTGCTGGGACAAGCACAGCAAGCTGCTGCCCACCGTGGCCGGGATCACGGCCAGCAAGGTGGCTGAGTGGACCGTCGAGCAGGTCGGTGCCCTCGGACCTTCGCCCTCTTTGCCCACCCGCAGGGTTTCTGACGATATCGTTGCCGTGACTTTGGAGTTTGGGCTGTGCTGAGTTTGATCCTCTCTGCCCTGGCACTGACAGCCGATTTTGTGATCACTCCACAGGTGACGCAGTTCATCCAGGGCCTGCCAGGGTGTAAGGAGCACGTGCGCACATTCAAGGAAGAGGTAAGATTACACCATCGGCATGTGTGGAAAACCGCAAACAGAGCTGAGGTCAGTAATATGTGGTATAGCCCTGACCCCTGTGGTTGGTTATGTGTGGTATAGCTCTGACCCCTGTGGTTTGTAACATGTGGTATAGCCCTGACCCCTGTGGTTGGTTATGTGTGGTATAGCTCTGACCCCTGTGGTTTGTAACATGTGGTATAGCCCTGACCCCTGTGGTTGGTTATGTGTGGTATAGCCTTCACCCTAGGGTTGATACCAGACATCTATGTTAGAGCAGGGGCATCAGAAAGGGGGAAAAACATGAACATGAACAGATGACTGTTTAGGGCTGAACGATATTAGAAAGCAATCAAATTGCGATATTTTTGGGTTTTGCTATCGCCTTCTGCTGTTGCTGATCGCCTTTTACTATCGCTGATCGGCTTTTGCTATTTATCACCTTTCTGCCATGATAAAGGTGAAACAGATAAGACATCATTAAGTCTTTCATTATTTCATGTTTATCCTTCATCATGAATCCATGGGTTAGTCCAACTCACTGTGCATGCAGAGCGTGAGGACAAAACATACATAATGAAGATCTGTCAAACAAAATCATTTAATCTTACGGATCAGTTATTATTATTATTTTTATTTATGTTTAGCTGTGCGACTGTATCCTAAGCAGTGTTAGTCTTATTTTAAATGATGAAATTCTTATTATTTTAATACTACTTAAAAACCTTTCTTTAATCACATTCCTGTACAATGTGACTATTGCACGTGTACCATTGCGATGTCACGATATACATCACACCCCCACCTCCACCGGGCCAAATTCGCCCCCCCCAATGTCAAACTCCTTCCGACGCTACTGTCTAAGGGTGTTTCTATCAAGTTTTTTAAATATACATCTTTTTAACATAATTAAAATGTTTCACAACTAATGAATATGTTGCCCCTGACATGAATGGCCTTGGATTTGGGGCTGTGATTTTTTCATTCTTCTCCCGCGTCAGGGTTAATGTTAGTTATTGGTGAACACGCTCGGTTTTTCTCAAAAAATGTAGCACGTGTTTTTCATAAACCGGATTACATGTAATTAAAAAGGCACTTGGATGGCAGTTTCAGCTGAATATCGAGCAGGTGGCAGAATGAGCAGCTTCAGTGGAGTGTCGTCGCTGTCGATTCCCTGGATTCAGATTTGGCACCATCAGGGTGGTCCAGTCCGTGTCCTTGTCACTCAGCAGGAGGACCCGGGCTGGCTGAAGTGACGGGAATACAGTCACTCATTCACACAGCCGATCTTTGATCTCGCACAGATTACCAGCTAATCATTCGCTGGCTTATCGCCAGTGGCGGGAAGAGGGAAGGTGATTGGACAGTTAAGATGCGAGTCGCACTGTCTGTGCTGCACAGTGAGCTTCACAGTCAGACACTGCGCTGCTGCACAGTGAGCTTCACAGTCAGACACTGTGCTGCTGCACAGAGAAATGCTTTTCCACTGATTACGCTTCAGGCAACACAAAATAGCGAATAGTATAACAATATATGAATAACATTGAATAAATGAATAACAATGAAGATGAAGTAACTGCAAAATAAACATAGAGAGCAGTATATCGACAGTTTGAGAAGATGGGAAAGATGTGGAGTGTTAGTGGGTCAAACGGCTCCAGAAGCTAAATGTCAAGCTTTAAGTTACGTGTGAACTCTATAAGACAGCGTTTCCCAATCCGGTCCTCGGGGGCCCACAGCCGGTCCATGTTTTTGCTCTCTCCGAGCTCTCTGCCAGACATTCCATATACTGGGAGCAGGGAGGGAGCAAAAACATGGACCGGATTGCGAAACACTGCTATAAGAGGTTTAGCTAAAGGCTTGCACCATCATTTGCGGTTCGTCACAAGCAGAATAGCCCTTTTGATATCCACACAGCATCTTCCACACGGTTATCGGTCAGTGATGGGAAGCAGGGCCTGTTGTTCTGCGTGGAGAGCTTCCTGATGCCTCGCTCTGTGTACTCAGCAAAGGGCACAAAAACAAGCCGTGTTTTTCTCCAGCGACGCTCAGAACGGAAAGACAAACGAGGGCCAGCTGAACCGCAAACACGCAGCTGTGTGAAGCTGGGGGCCGCAAAGGCAGCTGTCGCTCTCATTAACAACTGGGGCGCCGCGTGCAGAGGGAGGGGCCTCTGTCCCCCTGCTCCCTGCCATGTTTCATTATCCTTTTCAGTCCTCTTGCCATATAAGGATGGACTTGAAGACTTCTGGCTCTAAGGTCCAATATTCCGTATAAAGAAGGAAAAGCTATTATTTCAATGGTGAAACCCAAATATTATATGTGTAGAGAAATTGATAAAAAAAACTTCGGGGTGTAGAGGGAGCCATGTCATCTCTCACCTCCAGGTCCGCTCTGTGTGTGTGTGTGTGTGTGTGGTCATATATGTATTACATTGTGGGGACCAGTTGTCCCCACAGTGTGATAAAAACCTGTTAGTTTGACCTTTTGGGGACATTTTTTCGGTCCCCACAAGGGGAAACTCAGTTCTATGAATATCTGTGACTGCAGTCATGGTTAGGATTAGGGTTATGCTGTGCTGCTTGTGATAGATTATAGGTCCCACGCAACCCAGACTGCATTCATAATTGTCATGTCAACCTTAATGGGGAAAAGCAGACTATGGATGTTTAGATGGATGTTTTTACTGTCAAGGCGAAAATATTCTTTGGTAGAAAAACATGTCCATCACAGATATGAAACAACTGAATTGTCTCCAGTTTGGTTTGTTAATATTACTCTTGGTGAATTTGATAAAGGTTGGAGATTGTGGTGAAAGATCGAATTCTCTCCTGTCTCCGCTAGCAAATCGATGGAGAGGCATTTCTGCTGCTGACGCAGGTGGACCTGGTAAAAATCATGTGCATCAAGCTGGGGCCTGCCTTAAAGATCTACAACTCTATCCTGATGTTCAAGACCGCCGAGGACTCTTACAATGAGCTCTAATGTGGACGAGGAGCCGGGCGACAGCCAAGTTTGAAGCACAAACTTCTCTAAGGAAGTCTTATCTCATGCAACCTAAATGCACATGAATTCAAATCAATTGCACAGATTATTTTTATTTTCAAGTTTTTTTTTTCTAGAACAAACAGATCTTTGGGTCCTGATGACAGCCATAATAAGCATGTGGAGGATTTCCTAAGAACATTTCATGCCACATCAGTTTTCAAAATTATGTTTTGATTTTGGCATAAAATAAATTCATAACCATGTCTACTGATGAGTTTTGTAAATATTATCAGGGTTACTAGGGTACTTTTCTGAGAACTATACCGTTAAAATGTTGGTTTATTTTGCTATAATTTAATTCAGAAGCATAGTCAGTCGCAAAGATCTTTGTCTCAACAGGTACAACCAGACTTAATCCCTAAATCAGGGTCTTACTCAAATTGCGACTGTCAGCCTTAGATAGTGTCTTTCAAATTAAAGATTTCATGTGTTGAATCTAGCTGAACCACTTCTTGTGGACTCCCAGACCACGCTGTAAGAAAACATCGAAATGCCGTGATTACCTAGCAGAATAAAGAGTAAAGCGTGAATTATTTTGACCATAACTGCCCCCTCAATCTGCTTTAGTGCTGTGGAAGGCAAATCATTACTTAAATTAACATGTGAAGTATTTTATTTTGACTTTCACACTCATAACACTAGGTTCCAATAAATCTTGGCCAATGCAAAAGTGAGTTAATTTTCTGCTTAAAAGCTTTAAGTAGCTCCAGAAAGCTTTTAATGCTCTTCCAAGTGACTGCTTTACTTTAGCACATGCTGAGAAGACCATAATAAGGTCCGTGTTTTATTTATAATTTATCAACTTCGTCTGTTTACAGAATCGCATAAACACATAAACAGTAATATGCAAGTTTCTTTGTCAAGTGTGGTCGAGCGAAACATTATGGGAGCAAAACAAGGACAGGAGGGAGAGGTATTTTCCAGGGTTACATTTGTAAAGGGTATACCGTTATTTATTTATTTAACAATGGTGTTTCCCAGTGCATTTCGGATGAATGCAATGTGTATGAAATTGTGACGTGAACGTGGAAAAAAAGCCCTATTTGTTTCGATGCCTGTGACGAGTGCGTGCGCTCACTCAAGCCTTTATCTGTGACTTGTCGATACGCAAATAAACTTGTCAATTATTGGTCTTACGTCCTGTTGCCGCACTGTCGTTTCTAACATCCGATTGGACGCTTGAGTTACAATATTACCTGCAGGTGTCTCTGAGCCACAACGAGACAAAAGTATTTGGGGAAATGGGAGGAAGAGAGGGTACCGGGGATTAAGTATGAGAGAGAGGGTAAGTTTGGGCAAAAGGAGTCCCAGCAAGGACCCTACTGCAGAACTATGAACAAGGTGTTTAACTAGAGCTGCTACTCTAAAATATATGGTTAAATGAATTGGCAGTAATTGTAACGTGCTCTATTCAGTGTGTAAATTGGGTGATATCTGTTTTTTTCATACCGTTATACCTTCTAGGCATATGGCAGTATTTAAAAAAAAACGTAAATAATATTCGGTGAGGAGGATTCAGAGACAGCTCCTTGTTGACGAGATAAAAAGGTCGCCCTCCGTTTATTGACACCGCTGTCAATGCCCGGTCTGCCGCACCGGCCTCATCTGCGGCCGCATGCGCACTAGCGTCCACGTACACCACGCACTCTCCGGCAGTTCACAGCGCATTCACGGCGAATTTGGTTTTTATGGTAATAACCTACAAATGCGCATTAATCTTTGCCTTTTTTAAACTTGACTGAGACTACAATCACTGTTAATGCTTTGCATTGCAGTACATCGCCTCCGTACAGCTCCAGATTAATCAGATTAATATAAAGAGGAGCGTCTGTATTTTTGGGGATTTTTCGGGATTTCTAAATACCGGAGTATACCGCCCAAGCCTACAGCGCAGTGTTACTCCCATACAGCATACTTGTGTGAATAATTATTTTTTGTGATGTTGGCCTGACCATTGTGGTTGGTAATGTGGTTAGGATTAAGCTTTAACTGAAACCAAACAATGCCCAAAAGCCATTACTTAATCAAAATAGCTATGTTATTGCTGCATACTAGAATTCCCTTTTATAATTCGATAAATCCATCCAGTCCAGTGTTTGCATACCCATGTGAAATAATTGCATGCATTGAAAATGAATTCCATACAAATGTGGACTATTCATTTACAAGTAGTAAGGAATTCCAGAGATGGATAATTGCTTTGGCTGTCTCCTTTTATTAGAATTTACTTCCATTTATAAGTTGCATTTTCTCCGTTGTTTCTTAGAGGGTGTGTGGATTGTTCCTTATCAAGGAGGGTACAAAGTTGCCCAGCTTAAGGCAAGCTGAGAATTTTTAAATGTTACATTTGCATTGCCTGAGAAAGCCTCATTAAATTACATTATCTGCTTTTTTCAGAGCTGATGTGCAACATAAATATAATTAAAAACAAAAACGTAGTATGCGAAAGCTGGGATGCAGAGCGGGGGTGGTGGGGGAGGTCGATAATTAATAGGAATCCGAGAACTTTTGAACCAGACGACACAAATTAGTGGACTCGAATTTTCAGGGTCAGTGTACTAGGATGCTGACGGCCACCATTACAAACACTCTGGGAAACGTTGTAGGAAGCACTGTGACTCGCTTTCGCTAATAAATATATGCCTCTCACACTTGTTATGAATGACTGGCTGTCATGTGAACTAACTACTGTAACCCATTCGATTCTGCTGCCGATTTACCCGCTGAGCCTAAAAATAGCAGCTGTTGGCTCCACAAGAAACTTCTGAAAGAATCCCTCTGTTTACTCCTGTAACATGTATGAGAGAGTAGATGGATGGGACCACTTTCAAATACACCCTGTCAAGTTTTATTTTTAGTTTGTCAGTGAGTAACACGCTGGTCTAGTCATGCCAATAAAAAGCAGGATTTTTTTTGTAGTGCAGCTCAGTTCCTGAAAATTGAAAGGAATGACATCAAAGCAAATTAAGAATAGAATTTTTTTTGATTGCAATATCTCTAGGGCACAGGTGTTTATAAAGTCTGTCTACAGCTCGGTAACAAAATTAAACCTTGATAGAATCCTCCCACGCGGCACCACCAATGACCAGAAGTAACAGAAGCACATTTCATTCAGAAGTCCACCGTGGACTTCAGCACTAAAGCCTCAGTATTCTCTCTGATCCAGAGGAGTGGTTCCCAGTGAATGGGATGTAATTCAGTGGTACCTCGTCTGTGAGTTATTGTCTGTCTGGACAAACTGCATGATGCAGCAGACCAGGTCAACGGCAGATAGATACCTCACTGCTGAGCATGGCCTGCCCACATGATGCAATCACCTGATTGCATTGATCGCCATGGTCCAGCTTATAAAGGGACCTTCAGTTACCTCCGAGACCCTTGGGGATAGAGTTTGAACCAAACATTTAGGTACCTTTGCCCCCTACCCACAAACAGACAGGGAGTCCTTTGAGGAGACCAGTGCATGAGTCCAAGATCCAGAACTTTCCCTACATGTGTGGCACACATACGCCAACACTGTAGTCAGGCCTTTCGCAGATGCTGATGAGAAAGATTTGGCTAATGTTAGGTCAACTGGATGCATTTTCAGCTCATGGGGAAGGCAAACAAGGTGCTCACAGAATACAGAACGTCCAGTTAGCTAACTGGCTAAACAGGCTAAGCCTGTTTACTATGGCCTGTGATTGAAAGACTGCTGGTTTGAGGCCAGCTTTGGCAGAATCGCCCCCATCTGTGGGTCCCTAAGCAAGGCTCTTAATCCCCCCCCCCCCCCCCCCCCCCCCCCCACACACACACACACACACACAGGCACTCTTGCTTTGATGCGTGAGGGTGTGCAGTCTCCATGCTCATCACTGTATCAACATCAAAAAGGCCTGAGTCAGCCCCCCCCCCCCCACTCCATGGGTGCTGTTGCAGGTGGCTGCCCTTCACTACCAACATATGTGTTTGTGTGTCATGGAAAGCAAGATGGGTATGTGAAAATAAGATTTCCCACTGGGGATTAGTAAAGCGTCATCACATTTAATACACTTACGTGAACAAACATCCATGAACCTGTAACAAAACCATTAGTTGAAAAAAATAACAAAATACCCACCATTTTATCTTTTAACATTTAAAAACCCAGTGACCCTGACCAGGATAATATATTTAGTGATAATATTAATATTTTTAATTGAAATATTACTGCTGCTTAGAATTTGTGCTATTCCACAGAAACACTCTATAAATACTTTAATTACACTATGGTTACTCAACCAGAGCCTCGACCATTTCCACTTAATTTTCGGCACTGCGATTGCCCAGGAAGCCCCTACTCACTGCGACAAAGCTGTCCCAAGCTTCCTTTTCCATCCTACTGAGTTTCTTGGAGAAATCTATGCACTGCAGGATCGTCTTTAAGTCTATGTGTTCATTTAGGCAGGTAGAACTAAACTGACGTAAGTAAGGAGCACCTGTATATATATATTACTATGGCAAGTTCTAGAATGTTCTTGAAAATTCTTGTAAGCACTACAACATTGTAGAAAGTTCTGGGAAATTCTTCTAAGTTCTAAATTCTCTGTGCCACTTTACAGTAAGGCTACCCATATAAAGAGTTTATGAATGGTTTATAATCTGGTTATTAATTAGGTTGTAACACTGTAAATTATTAATAGACAATTTTAAACAAGTTATAAGACAGATTTCTTTTTATTAATGAGTTACTACCATTGACAAGTGGCAAATGGGAGCCTTATTGTAAAGTGGGACCCAATTCTCTATCAGATACTTAGCACTGTATGCAGCTCTTGAAGGGACATAAGCAAACAAAAAAACAAGTCAGTTTGCTAAATTTCCGCCCATAGCTACCCAGATCAACCAAAAATTAAGTGAGTGAGCAGCGAAAACGTCTGGAAGCAGGTTTAGTTGTGAAAAGGTCAGCCAAACAAACTCACAGAAAGGGACCTGATCACCCAGCATCGATACCCAACTTAAATGGCAGAAAAGCCCCCCAGCCTTGTAACAGCCATGAACCAGCCAACTTCATACAAATATACCCTTGGTTTCGGAGTGAGATCTGAGACTAGCTGGTGTCCCCATACTTTTGGCCATATAGTGTCAATTCCAATAAAATGTTTTATAAGCTTAAGCTCTTGCTTTTGCGAAAGAGACTCACAAATGGGACACTGCTCACCTGTTAAGTAGACTTAGGGTTCTTTTATTAAAACTGCAAAAGCGTTTGGTGTTTTTGCACGTCACAGACATGTGGTCACCCACATAGCAAGACGAAACGGAACTTTTGCACAACGGACCAATACTGGTCCAAATCCAGTTTCTGCATTTGAAACGGATAAGAGCCATGTATGGGCCAGATTTACGCTGAATGGTACCAAATCTGGCCTGTATCTGCACCATAGTCAAAAGCCAGATTCTGGTTGGTGAGTGGCTCAGTGGGCTAAGACCCTGAGTCTTTGTGCTTGCAATATGAAGGTTGCTGGTTCAAGCCCTGCTCCTAGCAGTGGGCACTGCACATTAACTGACCCTACACTGTGACCCCCCAGCTATTGAAAGTGGGGTGGGTGAAGAGAAGTATTCCAGTGTACTGGTACTTGTGCAAATAAAGCTTGTTTGTTTGTTGAATGTGGCTCAAACTCATTTTTTTCTCCCAGACTGACTGCTGACGATTTGTACTCCAGGATCCTACCAGGACACATGTGGGTGGTGAGTGGCTCAGCTGGGTAAGTCTCTGTGCTCGTGAGCAGCAGGTTGCTGGTTTGAGCCCCGGCCCCAGTGGAATGGTTACATGTCTGTGGACCCTTGAGCAAGGCTCTGGTGGTGCTGTGTGTTGTCTCATCCATAGGGGTGCAAGATGGGGAAGGTGAGGAGAAGCTTTCTAGGGTATCTCTGCAAAAAAAGCATAAGTTCTTCTCCAGCATCCTTAGTTAGGATGCTGGAACACACACTTTAATAAAGGCTTCTTTTGTCCATTAGCAGAGCTACACAGGATCATCTCTTCCTCTCTCTGCCATACCTTGGAGGTCAGAGTACAGGGTCAGCACTCCACAAGCTGGGAGTTAAAGGCCTCCGAGACCCTTGTGGATAGAGTTTGAACCAAACATTTAGGTACCAGCAACCCGCTGCTCACGAGCAC